TCACAAACATGAACACACATACACACGCACATATAGAACACACAACTAACTCTCCCATTTTGATATCAAACATATCCAATGATTAGACCTCATTATGCCCACTGCTTTGATCTAGCTATATCCCACTATCCACCTTGATCATTAGCCGTTAGATATCCTTTAATAATATTCTCCCTACACCCGAACTTCAATCTCCTACTCCGATTAAATGTTTATTTCAATCATAGAGATACACAAATCAATACACATATTCCTATAATAGTTTCAGTTACATTAAAATGTCTAAACAATTTTCATTGAGAATAATAACCTAGTCCACAGGACAATTCTAAACTGCATACCTTTTAAAAAATGATGGGTGATGGAAGGGTATATATATATATATATATATATATATATATATATATATATATATATATATATATATATATATATATATATATATATATAATTGTGCCAAGCGCTTTCTTTTAAACGAACAGCACAATATTAAATAACACATTTAATTTACTAATTCGGTTTTTAGTGTTATTATAGTATTGCTGCTTTACTCGCTTTAAAAAACAAATGCTGGTCGCTTTTTTTAAAGTTATTTTTTATTTTAAGTGTTTTTTTTTTAAAGCAGCCTCAAAAGGCAAGATTATTTCCCTTACTTGTAAGATTACCTCAAAAGTCAGGATTATTTCCCTTTGCCTGACCAGTTCGCCACACACACGCCTAATTAAGCGCTAAATTTGGGTCGTGTCTTTGAGGCTGTCTTACTGTAGGCCGAGGTAAAAAAAATTGTATCCTTAGACACCGGAAACTGGTGTCATCGTTTCCTGTTTGTTTTTTCTCGTCGTGACCTTGTGCAAGAAAAATCTTCCTGGGTTTTTTAATATGTTTTTAATTTGTTTTTTCTTGTTTTTATTTTTATCTCTCTTTCTCGCTCTCTCTATTCTCGCTCTCTCTTTTCTCTCTCTCTCTCTCTCTGAGTTTCTAATAGGCATCTTTTCGGTGGGGGGTGGGGGGGTGGGGGGTTGTTTTGTGCAGAGCCCCCGCCCCCCCCCCCCCCCCCCCCCCCCCCCCCCACACCCACACCCACGAAATGGAATTTATATAGAAAATATATATTTTAACCTTGTCCCCACCCCCTGAAATTTTAGTTCGTCCCGAAAATTTATAGTGCCCCCCCCCCCCCCCCTCCCCCGGAGAAAAAAAGTATGGATAATAATTGTCGCTTTCCTAATATTGTCAACTTTTTTTAACACTTCACAGTTTATAAATGCTGAACTCATAGTAATAACAAAATGACTGTTGTAAAGATTAAGATGGAGTCAATTATTTAGTTTAAAACGATATTTCATAAGTAATTTGTCTAGCTTCTGTTTTACATTAAGGTTTGATTCATGAGTTATTCTCAGATTAAGTTAAATGTTTTCTTTTTAAAAGAAAATCTCAACGTTGTTCTAAAAACGTTGGGTATTTTAGTTCTAACACGTGTTATAGAAAGTCGTCCGAGACAACTTACTTATTTTCTGCTCGCTAGTAGATTCAAAGATTTAAATCCTTATTCGTTCGTCTTAAAAATAACAACCCTAATATCCATATTTTAATTTTTACTCTTTTTTTCATTCTCTAAAAATATATATTGTAAAGGCCAAAGTACACAGCCCTATATATATATCTATATATATATATATATAGATATATATATATATAGATAAACATACATTATTAATACTATTAATAAACTATCGTAAATGGCAAAATTACACACCCTTATATATATATATATATATATATATATATATATATATATATATATATATATATATATATATATATATAAAGAGAGAGAGAGAGAGAGAGAGAGAGAGAGACAAATACATTATAAATACTATTAATACACAATAATTTAAATTTTCTCTTTAGCTTTAATCCTAACCTTTACAAGTACCACGGTAAAAAAACAAAAAAATTACGACATATTCGCCAGTCGGGAAATCAATTCAGCGCCCATTTTTTTTTCATTCCTATTTGTTATTTGTAACCATTTGCCTTTCTCTTCTGATACCAACATTTGCCCTAGCTCTGAACCAATCGGGTGAAATGTCGTTTCCCCTTCTTTGTTTTCTATCTTCCAACAACATTTTGTTTATCCCCGTGTATATTAATCCCAGTCCAGAATAGACTTCGATTGTTTTCAACGATTACTACTTTAGAATCAAGGACTGGAACTCTATTCAGGATCTACAACCCCTTTCCACCCCCTGGTGCCAGTCACGCTCCAGTGGTTACACGATCTTGACAAAAAAGGACAGTTGAGTTGTGGGAGGTTAGAACATGTTTTATGCATGTCACGGTTCAAGGGTCACGTCAAACGTGTCACGCTTGATTGAACCGATGACAGGCCATTGTGTGTTGCCATTTGTTTGACTTTTTTTTTTAAACGTGGAATCGTTACGATTAAGATGTGTAAGTTATAATAGCGAGGTCAATAGTGACTTTGATGTATGAAAACCGATGCTTCTTTAAATACATTTGAGGGTGGCTGGGAGTTATAAATGTGGGAGAGTCCGTACACAGTTTAATGTAGCAAATCAATGGATCCTTGAATATGGGTTTAGTGCATTATTTCCGTTTTAACTTTTTTTTGTACATTATTTTGTGAGTGGTTGCTGGAAATATAACGTTGAGAAGGTCGTTACAAGTTAAAAAAGAATGATACCTATAGTATTATCGTTTCAATGGTTAGGAGGGGTCAGCGTGGTCGAGTTGGTTAAGCTCGTGTTTGCTATACCGAAAAGTTAATAATTCACACCACCGGGCAGATGAGGCTCGATAGCTGTGAACTGTAACTCTAAAATATAAGTAAAATAGAAATTAGACATTAAAAGAAATATCTTCTTTCAGCGCGCGCCTCTGTGGCCAGGGAGGTGAGTACTTAGTGACTCACGCGCGCGAGACGAACCAAAACGTGCCCGCGTGAGCGTCGATTAGTCTCCGTACGACAGGGCCTGTACCAGGAGATGAAAGCCCACAATTTTTGTAACGTATCCTTCAAAAAAAAAACAACTCCGGAATTCGCCCAGAAACCGTCTGTGAGAAAAATGCCAGACATTGTACGCGTGGCGTGAGTAACGAACGTCATTGATCTCGCTCGTCTTTAACTCTTTTCACGCGCGCTCAGCGGACTGACGGAGCAGTTAATGAGCACAGCGACCATGTCTGGCGTCATTTAATGACTCCAAGAATTATTTCGAGAATTTGTTAACTAAGTAAAAGTAGATCACGTGATCTTTTTATTCTTCTTCGTTCTTAGTTATAATATTGGATGGGATGAAGTTTTGCATGTCAAAATGTTATGCACTATTCGTCCTGCTTCTTCTTCTTTGTTCTTAATTTTTAGTGTTGGAAGGGATCGAGCTTTATCTGCCAGAGGGTTTGAACTCGAAACTTTTTCGAAATTAAGATCTTTGCCAACTCGACCACACCACCAACACAATTAAGTATACGTGTCAACTGGTTATGCGCCATTGAGGCCATTGACTTCGATTTCAGCCTGCTTTTCTTTTTGGATTTGCTTCCATAGCCTTTGTACAACCAAGAACAAACTACAAGGCAGCAGTTGTTTGATTTTGGAGTTGTATCTCCTAGAAGAGTGGCTGTACCCAGCTAACAAGCCTCATTTGCCCGAGGGATCGAACTCGGGACTTTCTCGACCACGCCGACCCCTTCGTCCTGCTGACTTCGACTTTCAGCCTGCTTTTATTCTTGATTTGTTTCTATAGCTTTGTTCACCAAAGAACAAAATGTAATGCAGCAATTGTTTGATTTAAGAGTTTTCTCTCCTAGATTGGTTGCTCTTTTTAGCTTAAAAGCCTTTTATGCTCGGAAGGGGGTGGAAGTGGGGTGGGGGGGAGGGTAGAACTCGGGACTTATTGGTTTAACTATCATGCACTCTCCCGTTCTTTTTCACGAGTTAAAATCTTTGGATATTATAAAAATACAATGAAATACGCATTACGGATTCCTTCATTCCATAATCTTTAGCTCATTAGCTCAATTATAGGCCTATCTAGTTTGTAATAATCATTTCTCCTTCCTCTTCGATCGTAATTCTATTTTGGAAATGATTCCCTATAACACAATTAGGTCTTACGTGTCAATTTGTTATACGCCATATTAGGCTATTGACTCCGATTTCAGCCTGCTTTTATTTTTTATTTTATTTTATCTTCATAAGACAATGGTAAACCTGGACGCCCAACTGACTTCATCAGTAGTACTAATTAGTTACTAATTAGTTACTAATGATGCGATTTTACAGCGACGGTGTGGTCTAGAGGTAGAACGCGCACTCGCAAACCCTGAATTGAATAGGTTCAATTCCTGTTCTGGGAAGACCTTGTCATATATCAGTAAAAAAACAACACTCTTAATCCACCTTTGTGATAATGATCCCCAAGAGACACGGGGGCCTGACAACAACTTGTTGATTTTGGTATTCTCTGTTTTTGTACTTGACAATAGATTTGTTTTGTTTTTCTGTTATAGAAAATATGTCAGCCTTGATCTTTATATGCACATCAGTTTGTTTTCATTATCGATAAATGTATTTCTTTCTAGAGAATTCGGTTGTATTTTATTTTTAAACTGATAGCCTTACACCGAATTGTCTATCTAAGAATGGTTAACTTTGTATATAAGTTTCAGATATTTGGAATAACCTTACCAACACATTTCATTGCCCAATGTAGATTCTTTTTTTTTATTTTTTCGAGTTTTCTAAAAGCCAATTTTTAAATTAAAAAATGATTAACTCTGTACATATACTTTTCAAACAGATATTTGGAATATCCTTACCAAAAAAATTCTTTTTTTAAACGAATTTTCTGAAAACCAATTTTTAAATTAAAACATGGGCAACTTTATACATAAACTTTTCAAACAGACAATGTGACTAAATTAACAAACTAATTTTATTTCCAAACCGACATTTTTTTTTCTTGTACCAGGTTTAAGCGGGGAGCAGAGGGCGTTTTTCGAGAACAGCCAATCAGAACTGTCCTACAAGCGTGATGGCGACGCGTGGACCATCCAAGTGGGCATTGTGGGAGTCCCGCAGAGCACGACCTTCACCTTCAAGCTGGGAGAAACATACGACTCGACAAACATAGACGGCTCACCTTTAAAAGTGCGTCTTATTATATTATATTATATTATATTATATATATATATATATATATATATATATATATATATATATATATATATATATATATATATATATATATATATATATATATAATATGTGTGTGTGTGTGGGGGGGTGTAGGTTTGTTTACTGGGACGTGTATGAAAGAGTGTTTGTGTATAGTTATATAAATGCGAAAACGCATGAATTTGTTAGTGTGTACGTATATGCGATGGTAGCTAAATAACGTTCTATTATAGTATGTACGTATGTGTATTTACATGCTTGTGTGGAAGAATATATTCAAATGACGATTGATTAGAGGCTATTTAAAATAAATAGACGAAAACAAATCCCCGGCCTCCCAGAAATGCCTATCATCAAACGGACATTCCCAACTTACATATCCATTTATGTATGTTAATTTTAGTTTGAAAAAAACCAATATCAAAATTATGATGACATTGTTTATAGCATTATCTTTTGTTTTTAAAGCGTATTTAATTCTAGTATAAGCGTATGTTATGTGTGTCTGCATACTCTGCATTTATATATATGTTGTAATTTAAAACAAGTAGTGAATATATAAAGAAAAAAGTGTGAGACCACAATGTGTTGTTTGGTGCAAATAACTTAAACATACTATGACATATATTATAAAACTGTTACTCGATTCATACATATATTTGAAGCATGTTATGACATCGGCTATAAAATCTCATTATGTCCACTAAAAAAAAAATTAGCATTGTTTTGTTTCTATATTTAGAGTGTGATACAACAAGATGGCGACAGACTGGTTGAGAAACACGAAAACCAGGGTCAGAGGTCATTTGTCATGGATATAGTTCGAGAGGTCAACGATAACATTATGAATGCTGTAAGTGTAATGACACCGGTGCATGGGAAAGGTTAAAGGTTAAATGCAAGTTCATTAACTCCGATGTTTAAACGCGTGAGATCTAGTTTGACATTAAAAGGGGGAGGGGACGGAGGGGTGAATATAGGTCGCAGATAGCGGGTGGTGGGAAATTGGGAAGGCGTTGACAAATAATGTAAAAAAAAGTTCACCTATTTCGGTGACCTCGGCATATGAAGGGATAGTGTGGTCAGCACTATGCCCAGCTGCCTTTACTGTCCCCGGGCGCCGACCTTGGGGGGGGGGGGCGCCAAAATGGGTTGGAAAAACAAATTGAAAGTTTGAGAGGGGGTGGTGCAAATCAAAAGTTCGAGGGGGGGGGGGGCAAATCGAAAGTTTGTCCCCGGGCGCCGGGAAGGGTCGCTACGCCTCTGTACTTTCCCTATCGTGAGTTCGGTACCCATCAGAGTTGGGTGGACTTAAAATTTAGTCTTTAAATGACATCCTTAATGGGAGGCAAAAAGTTGTGTACAATGGAACCGACTTGCGATCTTAAAATAAAGAGTAAAGAAAAGTTCCCTTTTCAAACCTGACGGCCTATAGGGCAAGTTGACTTCACTTGTTTCTGTGACCTCGGCATATGAAGGGATAGTGTGGTCAGCATTATGCCCAGCCACCTTTACTTTCGTGAGTTTGGTACCCATCATAGTTGGGTGGACTCAGGGACGGTCTACTGACAGTCTAGCTCTCTACCGCTAGGCCACTCCGTATTAATTATTGAATACAATTGAGTTTCTCTAACATAAAATACCTAACACAACTAAGTAAACAAATTCCTTTTTCTTATTTCAGACTGCGACTATTGGAGGCGTCTCAATGCTGACGATCTACAAGAGAACATAAAGTGCATTAATTAAATTAATTAAAACTAATTAAATTGTATTTATAGGAAAACAAAGTATTTCAAATTATCCCTGCCTAGGTATTTATATGTATAACTGATTTATTTCTTTTTTTTTAAATGTCACATTTTTGTTTATTACGCCATTTTTTTTTAAATTTAAGTATTTTAATTTAAATTAATCAAAACATCCATAATGACTTACACCAAGGGAGATGTATTCCCCGAATTGTCACTATTGCCTTTGTGTATATTATGCTACGCTTTTTATTCGTCGATAAAATAATTGATTCATTATACTATAGTAAGTTAACAGCAAGAATACTGTATTCCAAACGTTAAAATCTCGCGGCGTCCACTATACATCCCCATTTGTGATCTTTAATATACCAGTCTATGGAAAATAACCCTAGAATACTTAAAAAGGATTTCATCAACAAAATATATAGACGATTAATATTTAGTTGTTAAGATTGCTTTAAGGGTGTGTTTAGTGTGTCAATTTCGACACTTATTCACATGCATTTTAGCGCATTTCTAATAACAAACAAAGACAAACTCAAATAGGTTTGTCAAATGGTGTAATGTTCAATTATGCAACAGATGGTGAAATAGCAAGGATCTTTTCAACCCAGAATGTAACTAGACAGTAACGTATTCGTGTGTAGGCCGACAGTATAGCAATAATAACGATAACACAAACGTTGTCACATCATGTATTCAATACAATCAACTCATTCCATTCTATGCTGAAGATTTTAGAACTACAAAAAATAATAAAACCTTAATTTCATTCAATTTGTTTTTCAGTGAAAATACATTTAATTTTTAGCTCTTACCGCATTTCGATTAAACCTTTCGTAACATTTTTCAATTTGTTTTTACTTTTTAAAACTACTTATAGCTTTCGTCTAAAACATCTTTCGTACTTTAACTCCAGTATTTGCAGTTTATAAGAGATTCGACGTAAGTGTATAGATATTAGGGGTTCCGAACCCAACCGTCCCTTTATTGTGTATGTATGATCAACTCTTCAAAATGTAGGATTAGCGTACTAGTTTTAAGGAGCCAGCTTGCTATATCTTATCACTCGACGAGGTTTCGACAAATTTATGTGATAGTTTTTTAGCATTCAGAATACTTGTTTTCAATAAAACCTGATTTTGTTAATATCAAGATTAATTAATTATGCTTTAAAACAATTACATTTACTAATCTACAGAAGCAAAGTGCTTAACGTTTGCAATAATTATTTACTTCTAGTATTACATAAAGAAACTTCATGACAAAAACCCATCCTTGTATTGTTAAAATATTTCCTTGTACGCGATTTTAATTTAACATTATTTTAATTGAACATTATACAATGCTTTTGTGTGTATGTTTTCAAAGAGAGCGTCAGTATTTTGTTGTGAACTATGTTCAGTTACATTGGCTTTTACCAAGGATATGTGCATATAACAGTTATTCCCATGAAGCAATACAATCATCATAGGAGTTTCAGAATTTCTTTCAGGCATTTCCTCAGGGAGGTGAGGGCACTGCACTACCGAAAACCTCAACCCACCCCTACCCCCTCCACCCCACTCCGATGAAATTGTAAAATAAAATAAAAATGTATACGGAAATTATTTACTGTAACCAGTATCTTCGCCTCCCTATACTGAAAACTTGCCCCCCACCCCCCCCCCCACCCTCCCTACGAAAGTGCCTGCCACCCCCAGATAAATGTTTGAAAGAAAAACCTCGTAGTTAAAAGCCTTAGATGATGCTAGTCTTAAAGCAATATATTTGAATTTGTTATTTGAATGTTTCATCTATTTATAATAACTAAGTATTAGTTATAATCAAATGTGCTATGGGCATACGGGACGCTTAGCTACTCCAGTATACATTTAGTTACTCTAGTACACTTGGTGACTCCTGTATACATTTAGTTACTCTAGTACACTTGGTGACTCCTGTATACATTTAGTTACTCTAGTACACTTGGTGACTCCTGTATACATTTAGTTACTCTAGTACACTTGGTGACTCCTGTATACATTTAGTTACTCTAGTACACTTGGTGACTCCTGTATACATTTAGTTACTCTAGTACACTTGGTGACTCCTGTATACATTTAGTTACTCTAGTACACTTGGTGACTCCAATATACATTTAGTAACTCTAGTACACTTGGTGACTCCTGTATACATTTAGTTACTCTAGTACACTTGGTGACTCCTGTATACATTTAGTTACTCTAGTACACTTGGTGACTCCTGTATACATTTAGTTACTCTAGTACACTTGGTGACTCCTGTATACATTTAGTTACTCTAGTACACTTGGTGACTCCTGTATACATTTAGTTACTCTAGTACACTTGGTGACTCCTGTATACATTTAGTTACTCTAGTACACTTGGTGACTCCTGTATACATTTAGTTACTCTAGTACACTTGGTGACTCCTGTATACATTTAGTTACTCTAGTACACTTGGTGACTCCTGTATACATTTGGTTACTCCGGTTTACAATGTGTTACTCCAGTATACATTTGGTTACTCCAGAATACAATTAGTTACTCCAGTATACATTTGGTTACTCCAGTACACTTGGTTACTCCAGTATACACTTTGTTATAACATTGATTTAGTATTTTATCAAATCTAAAACAGTATAGTATTTTTAAGCTGGAATAGCTATAGATGTTTTATTTTATTTGGGCTCGCCGTTCATCGTTGTGTTGGTGATTCTGCTTCATGTATTTATACTCTGTTTCGTCTCAGTTGTAAGATTTAAACATTAAATATTGGTTCCAATAAAAAAACTTGAATTCGAGTTTTTATTTATATTTAACTTTATCGTCAACGTTAGAGGGAAAAAGCCAGACTGATCCGATTTTCTATAGACAATCTATCCTAAGGAACCTTGGGTATATTTACGCCTAATACCTAAAATTTACTGACTCGAAGGTTTTTTTTACAACATGGCAATTCGTATAATGGGTGATTACTAAAATGGGTGATTTTGAAATAGACGATTACCAAAAGTGGAAGATTATGTGTAAACGTAATAATATAATCACTACAAAAAATCCATCACCTCTCCCTATCGGAATTATTTTTCTCAACTTTGCAGTTGTGGGTTTCTCCAGTGCCAATAAAATAAGATTTGTGAGAGATAGTGAATGGTATTAATGCGGTCGACCGCGCTTTCAATGGAGACTATACACTTCTCCAAAGACTTTACCAGGCATTTTGTGGCCTTGAATCAATACTTTTAAAACTCTTGCTGAATTTTTGTCGATAGTTATTAAAAGTTATGTTGCGTTGAAAAGTTATAGTAAACAAAAATAAATGTAACCCTTTTGGAACTAACGTAGAAGAGAATAGATGAAGAGCAGTTTCTGCGGTTATTTGTATGTAGGATGTCATTAGAAAAATACTTTTGTTCTCGGGGAAAACAATGCTGAAGACGATAGTTCAACAGTTTATGTGGTGCATTTGTATGTAGGGATATTTGAGCAATACTTTGTTCCTAGGGCACACATTGCTGAATACGATGATAGTTTAACAGTTACTGTAGTATTGCCATTAGGGATATTTGAGCAATTCCTGAATACGACTATAGAAAAAAAGGCGTGTACGTGATGATGCTGAAAACAATATGACAGCTGAGAAATGATAAACAGATTAGCAGGAGTTTGTTGCGAGTAGAGAAATTTGTCTGACTTCGTTCCGCTATTGACCAAAAGAAATAAGGTGATACCCAGTCAACAGGCCTTTTCCCTGCTTATAAGCGCCTGAATATTTTTTACTTCAGATCAAGATCTCAAGTCCATGTCCATGAGTCCACCCAGCTACAATAGGTACCTGGCAAGTTAGTGAAAGTAACGGCGTGCGATCTTTTATAGCAAATTAATTTTATCCAGGTTTCATACTAAAAATTAATATTATAGGATTTTTTAAATTACTTAATGGTGTAGTTAGCGAATGTTTCAGCTAAAGGGAAGTAATGATTTATATATCTAAAGAGAAAAAAATAATTGTTACTTCCCTTTGTAAACGTGTATGAATAATGTGTTATTTAAAAGCGATGCTTAAGCAGTATTTATTCAGATATATACGTTTAAAAACATTTAATTGTGGTGACCGTCCTTATTTTAAATGGACCCATAGTCCGTACGTGGTGCCTGATGACAATAATACCAGTCATAATTCTTTTTTATTACATTAAGAACTACAAACTATAATAAAAAAAATTTTCACGGAAGTCATAGCCTCGTTAGATAGGACACGATTGGTTTTGTGCTTGGTTATTTGGCCAAATAGTTGGTCACGTGCTGGGAATATTTATAGAACTGTTTATATACCCGCCATGGTAGTAAAAAAAACTCGTAACTAGCTCGCATGATACAGTAAAGAAACTATAAACTCTCTTTATATATTATTTACATGAGGTGTCTCAGATCATGGATATATTTTTAAAATTTCACCTTTCTAACTGTAACAGTGCTCAAAGTATTGTGTTAATGCGGATATAGAGTAAAATACAACTTCCGATCGATTACCGGAAATCGTTTAAAAGTTAACAGAAAAATGCACATACAATATAATACTTATATTACAAACTGTCTAAATATCAGTTAATTATTAAGCACGATAACAAAACACTCTGTATACGAAAAAGTAAATATGGTACAAACGCTACAATTGATAGTTGCTAGAAAAATTCAAATTAAAGATTAACAAGACGTATTTTTCCTCAACATACAACACGAGAAACTGATAGGCCTACATTAGTTTTCACTCATCGTGTTTGATGATTATTTTTGGACCGCACCATTTTCAGGTATACAGTTTAGAGCATATTTAAACAATAAATCAACAAAACATCAATAACACATCAACAGAATATCACCAAAATATCAACTCTATATCAGAAATACGTTATAAAAACAACAAATATACATCAATAATATAGAAACAATACATAAATTCTTTGCTAACATTGTTTACTTTTCTGTCCACATCCACCGAGCATACAGTCGAATGTTTTTCTAAATGCCGAGTTGAGAAAATAATAAACAAAAAAGTTTAAAGTCAGCCCACACGAGCACACGAAAAACGTAAAGTCATGAATGTATACATGTTCCCATAACCCCCTTGTTGCATTTCCGGTGCGAAGTAATAGCCAATCGTCGCCAATAAACGTGGGATGTTGCAAACGATCAACAAAACTGAAAGTCCCAGAACTGTTTTAACAAGTCTTTTTTATCCAAGAGATAACCCAAAATTTCCCTTTCCAGGAAGATGGATAATTTCCCCTCTATACGTTGTTCGAATCTTGGATGATTTATTCAGCGCGTATATCATCAACACCGTGCAAATAGACAACACACTCTGGAATAAAATATACAAGAACAAGCCAGCCATAATGTCTTGGATAGTTTCTATGATAACCTTCGCATTGTAATCCTTGTACACTATTGTCCATTTAAGCTTCGAGGCGTAGGTACTTGACTCATTATAACTAGATACGGACCAAGTCCATTCAAGTCTTTGAGCATACAGCATGGGTAGAATTAAACCAGTTATCACACTGTAAATTATCACAATTCCTATAATACACCGTGTACGAGTAAATATTCGCTTTACAGTGAAAGGAAACAAAACACAACAGCATCTCTCTACAGATATCAAAGCCGTTATCCCGCATGAGATTAAGTACAAGGAGTATTTAGCATTTAAGAAAATAAAAAAACGCAAGGCTGGTAAGTCAATAGGTCCGTCTGTAAGAAAATATCCCACGACGTGTGTTATAAAATTAGCGACTTGAAACAAACTGTAAAGTGTGTCTGTGATGGATAGAATAAACATGGCGACGTTCATGCTTGATTTGAGACCGAGGCTGAAAAAAATGGCGGCGTTTAGTAAATTAGTCACTACACCAGACAGGGAGAGAAGTCCATGTAGGATGACGCTCACTGCAATCTCGTAATATTTTAAAGCGAGGTCGGAAAAAAGGAACTCTCTTGTATCTGAAATCAAGTTGTTTAATTTTATTATGTTCATATCTTCAGAAGAGTTCATTTTTTAAATTCTTCTTCTTTTGTTTATAGAAGTATCAAATATTAAATATCCAATAGGACTAATGTCAACAGAACAAACTAGTGATTTCTTATCTTTAGATTTACCCAACAAAATCTAGCTAATATTTTCAAGATAATTTTCGGGAATATCGTATCACTATCTGATAAAATGTGCAGAATTAAACTGAAACGAATTCCAATTTCCTTCTCCTATGTCTATACTATTAAAAAGAACTGTCTGCCTTTCGTTTCTTTGATATACCAATCCGATCAGTAACTAAAAACAATGTATTTTTAAACCATAAAAATCTTGTAAACGTTTTTTAAAGATAATTGGGTTTTTTTTATAAAAATCTTATTGATTTAAATTTGAGACGGACTGTTTAATCTTTATTTACAAATAATGACTAAGCTTTCATTATAATTGGCTGTTTTGTATGAGAATTAAGTACCTCTGTTTACAAATGATATCGCTGTTATTCGAAAGTTGGGTTTAAGCTAGTTTCGCCATTGTGAGCTACCATTTCATTATAGAAAATGACAGGATCATTGAATAGTAATGAAAGCTCTGAATATTTATCTTGTACCCAAGTGGTATAATTATCTT